TCTATCAATAGGCACATCGAGCTGTGCCAGGCCCACCTTGCTTTAAGAACATGGGAGAAGCAACATCGGTACCCGGTTGGGAAAAGGGGATCCTACACCACCCCACGAGCTGCTGCGCAGGAAGTTGAGGATGGGCATACTCCCCGATTGGTTTGGAAAAAGGAAGGGGGTGGAACTCCCTCAGCATACCAATCCCCTGCGATGCATCCTGTTGAGGGTCCTCATGGTGGTAATCCTGGGGTGCAGTCACCCATGGGCAGACCCATTGACCTCTTTGACCTTGCTCTACCATGCTTTGAGGAAACTGACACCCAGTTACGACTCGCACACACCTGGCAGCACAACTGGGCGTATGTACGAACGGGGAGCAACTCACGACCCCCTAATTCACCGAGTCGGGACAAACCGGTTAACAACAATGGATTGCAAAATGGAGCACTTTCCCGTGACCAAGAGGCCCCACCCGGCAACCACGATGACATAGCCGGTGATGTGGGTTTGTCGATGACTTATGCCGGTACGGGCAAGGCAGCTCTAGACCCCCCCCTTCATCCACCCCCCTCAGTGCTTCACGGATGCCGGCACGTCGTCGGCAAAGGACAACCCACTGCGGAGCGATGGCATCCCCCAGTAGACGGGGACCTTGGACCCGCTCCGCGACACGTGCTGTGCTTGGGGCTGCGAAGGATGATTGTGGGGCTCCTGATGCATCCGGACTACCTGGCTGCAGTGCCCGGCTTGCGGTGGATGGGGGAGAGCAAGAGATGCTTGAGGTGGTTGGGGACCGTGAGGCGTCTTCTGGGAATGGACGGTTGTGCGGCCTCTCTGCCTCCCCCATGTGTGGGGATGCTGAGCGGAGCGGAGTGGAGAAGAGTGGACTATCTGCTTGTAAGCACGATGCACGCCCCATGGGGAGTGGCACGGGTGTTTATGACTCCATGGGTCGTCCTGGAGCACAAAACGAACGGCTGCACCCTCCCCTTACTTGTGCAACCTGGGATAAAGGGCGTTTTCATCCCATAAGCCAGTTATATCCTCTACCGTTCTCCAATTCTGGAGTAGTTGCAGGGTCACTCCTGCGGGAAAAAGCATCTCCAGCGGAGGAGTGTACTCATGAGGGGAGGACTGACTCTGGGACTGAAAGTAGGAGCAGGAGCCGAACCATCGGTAGCAAGGAGAGTAAAATCCTCACTGACCGGCCACGCCCAATGACTAGGGCTTGGTGCCGGATGCAGAGTAATGGCCAGTTATAAG